AATAATCATTGTTTGGTAACTGTTTTTAGTGCTATGTTTTTTGAAGCATTCTGAGTATTTTCTAACATGTTACAATAAAAGATTGTAGTGTACATATTCACATTTATAATATATATATAGATATATATATATATGAAATATGTATGTTCTAATGCAATAAAGAGATGATAAGAATTCTGAAAAGTTGCCTTTTTTGTGTCTTGTCATCTTTACTGTAAAATCTAATTTGGACAGGTGATTGTCTGAGAAAAGCAGAAACTTGCATTAGTTTTAGCATTTCTAAAACCAAGATCCCAACTAAAAGAAATTGGAAAACAGTTGGATTTATATTGACATTCCCACAGAGGTAGACTCTGGGGAGATATGGAACCAGTATGGTCTATTAGTTTAAATATGTGTTGAATACAAATGCACTCCACATTTCACAAGTTTCTATTTAGATTAAAAAGCTTTGTGTGGATTTAGTAGATAAAGTTCCCAACATTTTTGTTGATACCAAGGATCAATTCAAGCACCGAGTTTGACCATCCAGAATTAACATCTTCATGTTAGAATAAAGCAATATATGCAGGCTTGGACTGGTAATCTGTGATACTGGGCATTTTCACGGTGGGCCCTGAAATCCTAATTTCAGGGTGTAATGATTGGCCCTCCTTAAATAATATTGGCGCCAACACTTACTCTCCTGCCGAAGATCCTACCTGTGACAGTAAAAAACTCAAGGAGCTCAAGAAGTAATACAATGTTAACCATCTAGATGATGCATGCAGTATATATAGCCTTTCCTTGTCATTCACATCCTTGTGACGGTTGGCATATGGTGTCATTTTCTATTTCTACAAACTGGGTAAAAAAAAAAAAAAAATTCTTTAGCTTTGTGGGCGAAGAGATCAATAGACCTTGGTTCAAATTTGGCGAGATTTTGTATATCCAGGTGGTTTATGGAAGTTTTTGTGTGCCGGTGTAGATGGAAAAAAAATGCCAGGACCGAAAATCGTTACCACTCTGAGCCTGAATATATGTGTTTGTATAAGTGTTGATTTAAAGCTACAGTGTGTAATTTTCAGCGACATCTAGCGGTCAGACTGCAGACCGCAGCAACATGAACATCTCCCCCCCACCGCTTCTCCCCCCCAACAGTACGGCGAGCGTTACGGGACAAAATTTCTTCCACGACGTCCACATCACCTACCTTCTCAAGTGATGAGGTTTGTTTACATAGATAATTTTACAGATAGTATTTCATTAGTCTGAGTAGGGTATAGATTTCATGTAGACTTAAGATAATAAATATACCCGTTATTTTTTCTACATCGTTGTGACGTTTTGGTGAGCTGCTTTGCATGGTGATATAAACAGACGAAGTAATTGTAGTCATTAGTTTAACAGCGAGATTGTGTTCGCTGGAAGAATATATATTCCCCGTTTACAGAGTCTAAGTCATTTTGGTGGCACGGGGGTTACAACGCGAGGAAGAGGGAGAGGACGAGGGCGAGGGCAGGGAGGCCGTGCAGCTAGGGCCAGGCGAGAGAGGGGAGCCAGCGGGGTGAGAGCAGAGGAGGAAAGGCTTGAAGATCTCCAAAGGAGCCGGAGAGAAGTAACCGAGGTATATATCCAGAAAATTATTTTACAGAAAATTACTGAATCATTACCTATTACCTATTACCTCAGGGACGTTGCTGAATAAGTATACTGGAGAGGAACAGCATCATCACGCCGCAGCATGTTATTGTTTTAGACAGGTCTGAGCATCCTGTACTCCAAAAACTGCAGTGATATTAGACAATTGTGTGTGTAGGATTAATTACCTGTCCAAGAGAAAACTGGCAACTTGAGCGTCACTTTGAAAACCTTTTTCCTCCATCAGTGACTTCCATCGTGTAAATGCCGTGCCAATGTTGATCCGTGTTTTTTGCCGTTTCTTGTCACGCTTGCGTTTATTCTCGTCGTGTTTCCGCTTCTTAGATGACGGGGGTTCGGTGTCCGCCGCTTTTCGTTGTGATACAGAGTAGGCATGATCCTCCATTCGTCTGATGTTTGGCCACACAGTGCCAAACAGTTTGCAAAGTCACTCACGCCTGCCGCCTTGTTCACCTTTCTTGTTACTGAGGCGCAGTATACCTGCTTCTTCTTCTTTGGTTTCAGGCAGACTAAACGCTTCTCAGGCATAATACTGCCATCTACTGTTCAGTACCGTCTCAGTTCATCTCTCTCAACTTGCCGTAGTTATTTTTGAGCGTCATGGGAGATCTCGCAATCGCTAGTTTGTTGCCTCTGCGCTTGCCGTAGCGCAAAGATGTCAGCCTCCATGGCTGCGAGACCCGCTCCTATGTAATTATAAATAACGAATTCTAAGGCAACGCAAATATTATGGTTAAAAGGCTGAGCTTATAGGTGATGATAAATAACATAGTTATGTATAATATATTAAATTTCTGACTTTATATCCCTGTAATTATTACACACTGTAGCTTTAAGTGTTTGTCCTGATAGTGTTCACTTGGTCCTTTATGAGCCTGAAAATTTCAAACTAAGTGTTGCTGGTAAAAATTCTCAGTCATCCAGGTCATAGTTATTTCAAAAAGTTAAAAAAAACAATCCACTGGACTTTGTTTTACAAGTTTGAAGACGTTTTGAAGACCAGCAAAGAAAGCCATACTATTTGCATGTTTTCTAAACAGAAACAAGGCTCTGTTTTTGCTCCACTCTAAAAAGCCTGGAACTCAATCCTATTTCTGACATTTTGAAATGAAAAAGCTTACTGGATGGGAAGCGAAATGTCTTTAAACCTGGAAACACAGTCTAGTGGTTTGTTTTTTAACTTTTTGGAACTAATTACGATCAGCAGACTCAAACATCGCAGAATTTACTCAAGCATCCATCAACTTTTTACTTCAACAGGTTTAGCTCTCATGTCAGTGAACTCCCAACGTTCATATTTTATCCTGAGTGCTACTTTTGCCTGATCTCTCTTGGCATCAAATAATTCTTTGAGATTTCTCTCACTTCATTTGCATCTTAATCTTTCTATTTTGGCCTCCATTCGGCTCTTAGGAGTTTCCAGCTCAACAGTTTAGGTTTTTGTTGATTTCTGTTCATGTCGTGTCTTTTACTGTTGAGTAAAATGAGCCATGTTTTTAGCTGCTATTTTTATGTTAAAACAAGTGTTCATTTAATAAGGGCTTACCAATATGCTAAAACCAAAAGAAGCTAACATTTTTGTATTTCCTGATATGCTTTTTACATTTGATTACTAAAGTATGACAAAACAGTCTTTTAAAACAGTCCTCTATTGTCTACTGTCAATAGTCTCTTTATAAACAAACCAAGCTAAAGAAGCTCAAAGGGCCCCAACAGTCGTTCCCTCTGGAACAGTCGCAGAAGGTTAGGAATGAATTATCTAAAATATAATGGATTTCTGATTTTGAAAAAATATTGAATATAATATTTGACCAAATAATGTTTTATTTGCCTTTTGGATATACCTTGTTAATTGGTTTGAACACATTCCAATGGCTCCATTTTACCACCCAGCTGTTGAGGGCCCCACAGGGAATCTCCTGGTCCTGACACCGTGCCATGTGCTAGTCTCTCCATCATAGGCTGGTCATCGTCTCCCCTTCCTTTAGTGCAGGACTCAACTATGTAACTAGGGAATGCCCTGACTTTAATAAATTGTGGGGAGAAAGCTGAGACCGGCAGAATGGGTTGGAGATGGTAACTGCATGGTCTCTTCCTACTCTCCTCGGCGGTAAAAAAAGAATTCTGACTCTGTGCCTTTCTTTCCTTGTTTTACAGTGTTTTAGGTGTTTGAACCTGATACTCACTTAGCTGATTGCTCCTTCCTGTGTTTCCAAAATGACGACGGCCAAAGTAAATAACCCAGTCCTTCTTTTCACTGTAGACAATGATCTGCTTCTCTGTTCTCCATTTTTCATTTGGATGAAATAATAGCTGCATGAATCATGACAGCAGACAAGATAGAGGAGAGCAGGAAGCGGGGTTACCGATCTACTCGCTCTGGAGAGCAGAGTTCGCTGCTTTTAGATGTTGGCACAAAAGTCTCCAGTAGCAGAAAAAAGTCACTAGATTTGGCGCTAGGTGGTTTTCTGAAATCAATGTGCTAGAGGGGTCTGAAAAGTTGTGACTAAAGCGCTAAGTTGGTAACCCTGCTCTTTGCATCATTTGTTTTCAAATGGTTTGCAGTTGTCTGTTTGGAAACCATGTTAAGAATTGCTTTATAGTTATTGTAACCATGTTGGAGAAACTGATACTTTAAATGTGGCCTATTTGGATTGTTAAGATAATTTTTTTTAAGAGAGCGCTATTTCCTATATTATTATCTATCGATTGAAGCTGTTAAAAACATAGTCAACAAGTTATGTAATTTTTTTAAAGAAAATCTTTATTCATCATCATTATATTAAAAAGGGCAAACTGCAGAATAAATAAAAAAGTAAATAATGTGGCTGTCAGGTAGAGTGATTTAAAGTTTTTTTCAATCAGAATGGAATAGAGGCAAAAAACGAGGTAATGACTGATGGTGACTTCTCCAACTATGTAATGGCATCCCCGCTTCAGAGAGTTCCTTCTCATGGACTTGGTGTCAAAAAGAACTTCCTAAAAACATGTCAACACCCTGACATGTTTCCATAGCAACAGGACTTTAAAGATGAGCACATAAGCTAACATGTCATCTGAAGCTAGAAGGTGGGCATGGTTACATTGATGTCACTGACCAGGATGTTCTTATCTAACAGCAAGGAGAAGCTGATGCTAGCTCCACCTCACAGACTAGAAGGCTCCGCCCCTTTACTGTCCAGCCAATGGCTGTTCTGCTTGCAGGATAATGACAGTGGAGCGTAAAATAAATAGGTCAATTAAAACGTGGGACTGAGATGCATTTAGGAGTCAAAATGTGGTGATGTCACACTTTTTCCTACTGCATGTTTTTCAGATAGACTGGGTTGGACCACGATCCTAATGTCAGACCTCATCTAAAATGTGGGACAGAGTCAGCAGAAGTTCAACAAATCCTAATCCTAACCAGAGTTGGTTCATGGAGAAACTTTCAGAAGTAACCAAAAACCAAGAATATGCAGATATTTACCCCTCAAATTATTCTGAGTTCTCACCCAAACCTCCTTCTGAAACTTGATCAATATTATCCAACTGGCATTGCTAAAATCACATATCAGGATAGTCACTGTAAAGGAGTTTAATAATAAACAAAAAGGCAAAAGCTGCACTCTTAGAAATATGAAATCCTAAATCCTATGGTAGAAATGTGAACGTCTGGTGAAGAAGTCCTTCCCAAACCAGATCCATCCCATCTGAGTCCAAACAAGTCCAGTTTGGGAAAAGGTCAGCGCTTAACAGCTTCACTGGTTTCTGTGACGCTTCCTCAGCTGCCAGTGATGGAGATCTCCTGGAGATAATGTGGAAAATATTCATGTATTAGTAATCAAGGACACTTATGCTTAAATCTTATTAAGATTAATCGGCAGCTACTAGAGCTTGTAACTCAAAAGTCATTAGCTCATTTTTCAATTCTAATAGATTTTTTTTCTCAATAACTTAGTATTTCTGTTCTGCTTTTGCTGATTAAACATCTCCCATCTGAAGCAGGTGTCTACATGTTATTATATTTTAAACGAATAGCTTATTTATTCATTGATGGTTGCATTCATTGATATGCAGCAATTGAGTTAATTCCTTCCCGCTATCATTGCAACCCTAACCCCTCCTAAAGGGGAGCAGAAGATCTTGCCTGTTCAGCCGGGCCAACAATTCCCTCTAACCACCTCCTTTCAGAGACATAGTAAGGTATGGGGCATTGCAGGCTAACAAAAGAAGCCAAATGACCCCCATTCCAAAGGGGTGGTTTGAAAAAGATTCCTAGATGGAAAGAGAAACGTCTTCAAACTTGGAAAAAAAGTCCAGTGGATTGTTTTTGAACTTTTTTTGGAATTCATTGATGTTTTAAAGGAAATATAAACATAAATATTTAGTATATTATGCATGTACATATATATATGAAGACCAAGTGTGATGTCGTTCTATTCGTTTCTATTCCATTCTAATCTATTGAGATAAATGTAATTAATGGATAAAGTAGTTTATTAAAAACAAACATTATTTCCCTGCTTTTCTCTCATGCCTGCGGGTCAGAAACCCAAACAAAACATCAACACTTTGGATGTAACTGTGGTCTGCACATTTAAAAACAAGACATGAGATTTTGCTTCATTGTAATAATTTCCAGTGAACTACTTCAATCCAGTTTGAGATTATAAATACAGCTTTACAAAAAAATAAAACCTGCAAAGCGTTGAGTTCACCCACTGTCCTCGTCCACTCGTCCTCCGTCATCGCTTCTTCTTCTCCTTCATCATCATGCTTCTGTTCCAGACGCCCCCCTGAAAGACGATAAATGGAGCCTCTCTAGACTTGCATTTAGATGCAACCCAAACTGCTCTTCTTCATGCTCACCATCGCAGGTCAGGGCAGTGCACACCCAGTTTCCACAGGCACACACACACTTGTTGCATTCCCTCCGAGTCTCAGCTCCATCCTCAAAGACCTCATCCTCCAAAGCACACTCTGCTCAGGGTGCAAACATGTCACAGGAGTTAGACGCATTGTCTACCTTTCCAACTGTATCGTACACTTTAAATGCTCAGCATTTGCCTACTTCTTTGCGTTGGTTGGTAGGTGGGGGTCAGACAGTTGAAGAACTCAGATAGACTGAGTTTCCAGTCTAGGTTTTCATCTGACAGCTCGATTAAAGCATCGACACAAAGAGACCTGGGAGGAAGAAGAGGCTTTCAGGAATCACTTTTACTTTGTAGATCCAGCTGAAGTATCTGTAAAATAAAGACCTCAGTAGGTGGTTAGTCTCCTGACTATTGGAGTAAATGAGTTTCAGAGCGCTCTCATTATGACTCAGGAAGCGCAGGAACTCTTTGGAATCCAGCAGGGAATCTCCGTCATCATAGCTCTGCAATGAAAAAATACATTTATAACAAACTGGGACCCCAGTTTAAAAAAGATAATGATTTATGAACAGAGGCTTTTTTGGCCGTTCTGCCAAAGAGGTTCAATTAAAGAAAATTGAATGGTTAAAATACTGATGGGTGGGATTACCTGAACTTAAATCTCACCAGGAATTAAGTTTTTCTCAGAAATCTGCTAGCCTCGTGAGACCATCCTGATCTCGCGAGCTTTCAAGATTTCACTCGCTAATCAGTCTGGAGACTCTCCGTTGAAGAAAATTTGGAGCCGTTCACCAAACGAACGTCCAATCAGCGTTGGCTTTGAGGCGGGTTGAGGTGTGACGCAAAGAGAAGCGCGACAGTTCAGTCTAAAGAACATGGCGGCTTCAGCCGATGAAACTAGCGTTAGCGTGGCTATCGAGCAAGTTTAATCGGAATTACAGAGTATTTCTTCACTGAAAGAAGAGCAAAACACTGCTCTGGAGGCTTTTCTCAGAGGAAAATATGTTTTTGCTCTTCTCCCGACTGGTTTCACCAAGAGTTTGATCTATCAATTGGCTCCTCTTCGTCGTCGCTCTTTTAAGTCATATGCTTCGTTGATCTGATTGGTTTATTTGGCCCGTCTATCACCAACATAGGCCAATCAGCTAACCAGTATTTTCGCCCCTTCCCAAAATTACCTACGGAAGGTTTCCAGATGGATATGCGGAGCAAAGACCTGGTGGTGTCAGGTTAGAAATCTGCTGCTGTTTAGGCCGTACCAGCTGGCTTAAGTTTACAGGATTTAAACCAGCAACTAGTTATCATGTTAGGATATTGAGCAACAGATAGTTAGTATAACAACCAGCAATCTGCATCACAAAATAGTAATGCAATTCTTCCTATCGCTGTTGTGCCATTTTTTCCTAGCTTTTAAGGAAACCATGTATTCCAATTTAAGATCAGAGTGTGGAAAGAATAAACAGTGTAAAAAGCTCATATTACATGAGCTGTAAAAAACTCATGTTAGATCATTTCATAAAGATGTTGTGACCTGAAAGTACATTTGTAGGACATCTCTGGGGGAGGAGGATGCGTTTGTGGCCAGACGATCTCGCTCCACCTCTGAGTAAATCCAGTGGATCGCCTGCTCCCTCAGCCGATCACGTTCAGACAGGAAACACACGACTAGAAACGGTGCAGGCAAAACATCCACACGTAATCAGAGAAAAACAGGCGCCACCCTGAAGGTTAAGATGCTGGGTCTAAACGTTGCAATATGGCCTCACTTACCGGGGCTGACATCTGTCTGCTTCCCTGCATTTCAGGAGACAAGAGGAAGAAACAAACAACACAATGATGTGTGCACAAGATGAAAGCAGCGTTTTTTTAAAGGTGTGTACTTACAAACACACTGTCCTCTGTGGGCCACGTGTAATTTGGTCTGGGTGATGCATGCGTCTCTGTGCAGCTCACAGTGGTTCCTGTATGACCTGCCATTGCTGCCACACACCCAGTGCTCTGATTCCTCACAGCGCTGCAAACATTAACAAAGTTAAAACACAAAAAGTTGTTGTTTTACAATCACATGTTACTGATTGTGTGTGTGCATGGGGAGGGGATCAGATCAGATGAAGAAAGAGTCCTGGCTAAGTCTTGTCCTTCTAACTCAGGGCCATCTTTGTTTAGGGCCACCTTTGTTTAGGGCCATCTTTGTTTAGGGTCATCTTGTTTAGGGCCATCTTTGTTTAGGGCCACCTTTGTTTAGGGTCATCTTGTTTAGGGCCATCTTTGTTTAGGGCCATCTTTGTTTAGGGCCACCTTTGTTTAGGGCCATCTTTGTTCAGGGTCATCTTGTTTAGGGCCACCTCTGTTTAGGGTCATCTTGTTTAGGGCCATCTTTGTTTAGGGCCATCTTTGTTAAGGGTCATCTTGTTTAGGGCCATCTTTGTTCAGGGCCACCTTTGTTCAGGGCCACCTTTGTTTAGGGTCATCTTGTTTAGGGCCACCTTTTTTCAGGGCCACCTTTGTTTAGGGCCATCTTTGTTCAGGGCCACCTTTGTTTAGGGTCATCTTTGTTCAGGGCCATCTTTGTTCAGGGCCACCTTTGTTTAGGGTCATCTTTGTTTAGGGCCATCTTTGTTTAGGAATATCTTTGTTTAGGGCCATCTTTGTTTAGGGTCACCTTTGTTTAGGGCCATCTTTGTTTAGGGCCATCTTTGTTTAGGAATATCTTTGTTTAGGGCCATCTTTGTTTAGGGTCACCTTTGTTTAGGGCCATCTTTGTTCAGGGCCACCTTTGTTTAGGGCCATCTTTGTTTAGGGTCACCTTTGTTTAGGGCCATCTTTGTTCAGGGCCACCTTTGTTTAGGGTCATCTTTGTTTAGGGTCATCTTTGTTTAGGGCCACCTTTTTTCAGGGCCACCTTTGTTTAGGGCCATCTTTGTTTAGGGCCATCTTTGTTTAGGGTCATCTTTGTTTAGGGCCACCTTTGTTTGGGGTCATTTTTGTTTAGGGCCATCTTTGTTTAGGAATATCTTTGTTTAGGGCCATCTTTGTTTAGGGCCATCTTTGTTCAGGGCCACCTTTGTTTAGGGCCATCTTTGTTTAGGGTCACCTTTGTTTAGGGCCATCTTTGTTCAGGGCCACCTTTGTTTAGGGTCATCTTTGTTTAGGGTCATCTTTGTTTAGGGCCACCTTTTTTCAGGGCCACCTTTGTTTAGGGCCATCTTTGTTTAGGGCCATCTTTGTTTAGGGCCATCTTTGTTCAGAGCCACCTTTGTTTGGGGTCATTTTTGTTTAGGGCCATCTTTGTTTAGGAATATCTTTGTTTAGGGCCATCTTTGTTTAGGGCCATCTTTGTTCAGGGCCACCTTTGTTTAGGGCCATCTTTGTTCAGGGCCATCTTTGTTTAGGGCCATCTTTGTTTAGGGCCATCTTTGTTTAGGGCCATCTTTATTTAGGGCCATATTTGTTCAGGGCCACCTTTTTTTCACATTTATGTGCAAATAAGGAGGTAGCTGAATTTTAAAACACACTATGTCCACAGCCATTACACTCAGTAATGACTCAGACATGAACGCTAGCTAGTTCTTGTTTTTCCTTCCTCAGAAAATATCTGATTTCCTCTGATAAGCTTGGCCCTGCTGGACTATAAAGTAGATGTTAGCAGCTTGGATGGATGCAGATTTTATTTTCCAGCCACTAGTTGCTAGTTAACCGGTATGTTGACTGTAGCAGCATACCTCTGACTGGAAAAACCGATAAAGCAAGAAAATCCGCCTTTTTTACTGATAAAAAATGACATCTAAAGCCCTGTTACATCTCATAGTTTGCATTAGCTTAGCCTCTGCCTTCATTTTTCTAACATTTTCATCAGTGGGTGGCAGTGACTGTGTGACAGGTCGAAGTACACTAGCTTTCCAGAACCAACGGAGGACCAGAACCCTTTCCAGGACCCTACTGTGACTCAGCATAGCAGCAACACAGAATATGCAAAACTGGACCTTTGCAACCTGTTTGACAAACCAGCTGGGCCTCCACCACCATATGAAGCCACATCTCTGTCTGCACCTGCTCCTGCACAGCAGAACAGCACCCACTGGGCCTCACAGCTATTGCTCCGATAACTCCCAGCCTGCAGTGAACTCCACCCTAGCTGAGCACCTGAGGAAGCAGGGGGAACCTGAGAGGAAAGCTTAGGAGTTGGAGAGGATGGAATGGGAGGTGCAGTCTCACAGCCGCGGACCAGGAGCCATGCGTCAGAATAATTGGCCCCCCATTGCCCTCATTCATCCCGTTGGTCCCTGCTTCTACCAGGACATCAATGTGAAGATCAGGCTGCGCTTCCAGCGTACTGTGACTATTATGTAATACTTCTGGATGTTCTGCGCTTTCACCCTGCTCTTCAACCTGATCTACTTCCTGGTTTTGACAACAATAACTGTTCAGGTTTTGGTCTCTCCATCCTCTGGACTCTCCTCTTCACTCCCTGTTCCTTATTTATAAAGCCTTCAGGATTGATAGCTCCTTCAACTTCTTTATCTTCTTTATCTTTTTCTTTATCTTCTTTGCTCAAGTCGGGTTTTTGTCATCATGACTATTGGAATCCCTGGATCAGGACCAGGATTCAGCGGCCATGGGGGTTTTCCTGTTGAAGAAGATCCACAGTATGTACAGGCAAACCCAGGCCAGGTTCTAGGCTCAAGGCTGAGATATCCAATCAGACCGTACGCCAAGCAGCTGCCTCTGCTGCTCACTGCACTCAATAGGACAGCAGGATGAGGGGAGAGCCAGGGATTGATGACAGAGCGCCTCTAGAAAGCTAAAATTCAGCAGTCATGCATGAGTTTTCTGATTTTTGAAAATGTATAGGAGAAGATGCAGACAATGCCAAACTTAGTGAATCAAAAGGTAGAAATTGAAGTGGTGATGTACCAGTCATTGTATTGGCCTTCAGTGTCATCTTGACAGCTTTCAGTGTAACCAGTGTTTGTGCTGGACAGAGGGCTGGGGGAGGGAGACCGGGATTATCTAGATTATGTCAAAGATGGAGCGTTTAAATTGGGAGTTTTGTGACTCAGATCACAATGCTGGGCTGGTGTTGCCACTTTGGTTTTGCTGCATGATGCAAATATCTATGCATCAAACAAAACATTGGACTTCCACTCACTGCTCCAGTTTTTATGCTTCACATCAAACAAACAGGATGAAGACACGTTTTCAACACAAGAAACAAATACTAACTTTAATTACAAATATCAGGTTGCATTTACAGTTATAGACACTTTTACATACATTCTTTTGTGCTTCTTTTCCTTAGGATAAATATTTCCCTGTTTGGGGCTGAACTTGTGATGAAGCATACATGTCAGTTTAACCTACAGATATTACAAAGTTTAAATAACCCAAAGAAGTCAGAACTGTACCTGTAAGCAGCGACACTCTGGTAGTCCTCTGTCGGTGGAAACACACTCCCTGCCTGCTCCACAGAAAGTCTGAGCACATGCAGACGGATCCTAATGCACACAAACCCACAGACATTCAGCATAGCCCTGCGTGTTAAAAAGTCTGTGTGTGGAGGTAGAGGGGGATTACAACTCTCTTTCACTCTCCAGATGGTGACCTTTAACCCCAAACATGAATGACAAGGGTTCAAAAGATACAGCTGCATAGCGGTAGATGCTTTAGGATTCCTCTTTGACATTTGTTGCTTTAACACCATCAAATTAAATAAAAATGTTATAACTGTTTGGTTCTATGCTGTTAAACCAAATCATAACCCCTCCCCCAAAAGGTTTGAAACATAACTTTACTAATTTCTTTGATGATTTCTTTCAGATTGCAGTTTTCTTTATTGAATTTTTTCAAAGTCTATTAATTAAATTTAGTTTTACAGAATTTTTGTTATTTTGTTTTTTTCAGATTCATAGTTTTTTGGGAATTGCATTCATTTAAATCATATTCTCTTGACTTTAAAGCCTATAAATACGCCTGTTCTTGAACAACGAAAATATTGCTGAAGTCCAGCAGACCAATAGAAATGCGTCTTCACTGCTCAGTTTAAAGGAAAGCCCGCCCCAAGGTGGTGAACAGAATGCGATCTGGAAAACACAATTTGAAAGAATGCAATTCGTAAAACTCAATACAAGAAACGAAAAAAATGTAAGATAATGTTTGAAATAATAAAATATGAATAAAAAAAGATCTAATAGTTTAAATGAGGAAAAAAGTTAAAAAGAATATCTGTTTTTTAAATGTACTTTTTGGGATTGATTTTTTTTTTTTTTTTTTTTTTTTTTTACAAAATTCCTTTGCTTTAGATTTACAAATTAAAAAAAATATTCTCTTGCAACAATAATGGAACAAAATTTACTCCATAAAAAGTACAAAGTACTTTAATGTGGGTTAGATGAGGAGATTATGCTGGAATGTAAATATCTGTTCCCTAAAATAATGATCATTCCTTTATTATAATCCAGGTTAAAATGAGGCAGCAGTGAGCTACAATACACAACTCCCTGGATTAGAAATAGGACCATCCATAAAACCTACAATCTAGATTTGAAGATCCCGAGTGTTGCTTGTTCAGTAACTGTTGTGAAAGTCTTTTAAAGTAAAGAGAGAATGATGTCAGGTTTATGTATTTAGAAAGAAATGTCTGCTCATGCAGAGATCCGGCGTCTACCTCAAACGCTCTGACACAAAGCACACAGCTGCCTGCCCGTCGCCTGCAGCCCAGCTGACTTCTGTTGCCTTAAAGAGCTGCTGTTGTCTCCCAGCAATATGCTGCCCTCAGCTGTACTTATTACTTCATGCCTTATCTTGTTCCCTCACAGGAAGTCCTGCTTTTCATCCAGCTGAAATAGTGGGCTTTGCTCAAGGACATCACTAAAGAAATCCTCTAAATATTGTTCTTTAATTTCATTTAAATCACTGTTAATTTTACATTTGACTTTCAAAGACTGTTATTATTTTTGTGTATAAAAAACCCAGACAAAGTTGGTTCAGCCTCTAACAATAATGAAAGAAAAGCCCTAATATAAACATATCTGTTAATTTACTGAATGATTTTGAAACAATTCGCATTTAGAAAGGCTTTAAATTAAACGGTCATTTCTGGCACGGTGAAAGCTCAGTAATTCTGTGCGTATGGGGTGAGATAACTGTCAATAAACATGTATGTGACCAATGGGCTCTATGCACAGCTCCACTACTTCCTGAATTTAATGCAGCTCCTTTGTTTCCTGTCTTTCATTACTGGACGAACTGATTAATCCAGGTGTGTCTGGCCAGTAACTTAGGTCATACACACCTGGATTAATCAGTGCATCCAATCATAAAAGACAGGAAACAAAGGAGCTGCATTAAATTCAGGAAGTAGTGGAGCTGTGCATAGAGCCTATTAACGTAGCACAATTTACATAATTACAATTATATTTGTTTTTGCTCCTAGTCAAAAAAATACAAGTAAAAATTACATTTTTGAGTTGAAATCACTGATTTGCAGCCTTACAGATTACACAACGTAATGTCAACACTGAGCAGTAGTATTGGGCATGAAGTAAAGAGAATGGGATCTTTAAAACCATCTCTGGAAGAATGCTATTTATAAATCTCATTCTGAAAAAATAACATTTTAAGATAAAAAAAAAAAAGATTAGGAAGTAGTTTTCTTCTTCAGTTAATTTTTTTTACATTTCAATTTATAAAATGTGTTCTTTGCTTGCCAAAATAATTGTACCAAAATTCACCCCATACAGGACAAGCATGTTTTCTTTAAAACCATAAACAACCCATTCTCAGATAAAAACATGCTTAAAACTTGCATTTTACATGTCAGCACCTTCTTACCTCATGTTTGTTGTGAAAAACATGAAGCAGCAGCTTATTCAAGCCTAGACTTGTTAACAGAAACACAGCTAGTGTTTACAGTATCCTAGCATACCAATAACTCATCCTCAGAGAGCCTCTGCCTTCTTTTTAAAAAGTCTTTTGGTTGGTGAAAAACAAAAAAGTTGACCCATTAGTGTTTACCTTAGCAATAGGAGATGGAGATGAAGGAGAAAGGAGGAGCCAAAGAAGCAGCAGTGCAGAAATATTTTTCATCTAAATAAAAAAAAATTCAAACATCAGAATGTTTGAAAATCACCAAGAAGGAAATCATACCTCATTTTCATCTCTTTTAGTTTGAAATAATGATAAAGAACAAACCTTAAATCTGATGGTGAAGAGGCAGACTCTGCAGAGGAGCAACATCTGAGGCGGAGTGAGAGAAAAGAAAAGGATTGGGAGCAGAATGAGAAGCAGCTGTCCTGAGTCGGGCCGCCCCCTCCCCTCCAGCATCTGCTCTCTTCTTCTGACCCAATGTCAAAGCATGCAGCTGGCTGATGTGTTCAAATGGTTTAACAGCCAGAAACACAACCAATTGCCTCAAACCTGAATTTACGAGTATTTATTTAACTGAATGTCTTCAGGATTTGAATGTAGTTTATAATTATCCTAACAGGATCTGACCAACTCCCGTTTTTTATTTCATTTAGCCTCCTTTACAGCACTATTAAATTGTATTCATCTACCTACAGGTTCCATTTTTTAAGACAATCGACGGGTTTTCCTCTCCGCTGTCGTTTTATTCGGTTCGTTGATAGATTTCTGCAAAGTCATCAATCAGGTTATCCTGAGCTATCTCTATAGTTATGCTGCTATAGGTTTAGACTGCTGGAGGACGTAGGGACCACTTTTCATCATTCTGTTTCATTCTTTCTGTATTTTTCCATTCTGCAGTATTTTAGAAACTTCAATTATAGATTAAATAGTTGGGTCTGTTTTTCAGTGTTTAGTCCAGTTTCTCTGTGTAAGGGATTTCTGTGGAGTTCACAACACAAAGACGCTAATATCTAGTGCTCATCCAGGAGGAGTGAATCCTACAAAGTCGATAAAAAGTTTGAACCAATCTGACTGGATGATCTGTGTGTTGTTATGTGTTGATTAAATATACTACATTACCCATAATGCACCAGGCAATAGGTCACCTGGGAGACCATGTACTGAGATTGCAGTTGGTCAATAAAGTTTTGACATAAAACCCACGCAGACCGTGTGCGTCTTTTCATTAATGCACTACACGGCATAAATCGTCTCTGTAAACGCCTTGAAATAATGTGTGTTGTGAAATGGAGCTGTATAAATAAACTGAATTGAATCCTCTGATTCATCTGTATATTTGCAGTCACACAGAGTACATGTGAAGAAATTATTCATCCTAATAAAGTTCAATGAAAAAAACCTGTGTCTGCTTTATATTTTATTGCTCTGCATGTACAATATAAATTTCATATTATTTGGATTTAATGTGAAGTAACAACACAAAGTAGCAGAAAGTGTTGAAAATGAAGACAAAATGATAGTTGAGGTCTAATTATTTTTCATTTTACCAATAAAAAACTAGAAAGTTTGCATTTTTATAGCTCAATCTTTGCTTTGGTATCACTAAATAACATCATATCCAAAGAACTGCCTTAATCTTTGTCCAACTGTCTGTCATTTTTTCATTTTTTAATTTAACATTCCCTTTATCATAATTTATGCTTTAAAAATGTTATTCTTTAGTAGAAGCTGTAACAGTACTAGTGAAATGAAATGACTGGTGTTCTTCCTCCAGTGACATTCCTTTCAAGGATGCAGTACTACGATGAGGACGCCAGGGGGCCACAAAGGACTACAGTAATTAGCTGTGCCTGTTCTTTCCCCCTACAGAAATAAATAAATAAATAAATAAATAAATAAATAAATAAATAAATAAATAAATAACCCTATCTCTCATACAGGAGTATATAGGCGGATTCTGTTGATAGATCATCTGCCATCAAAATTCTAGAACTGCATGTTCCAGTGGTTTCACTGGGAGACTTCACTGGTTGAAAAGTTCAAGTAGCTCTCAATAAAAGAAATCCTTTTAATGTCATTTTTAGCTTTTAAAAAAATAAAGCCAAGAAAAAAAAAAACTTTAAGGCAAGAAAAGAGCAACAACATGCAGAGAGTTTAAATGATTAGTGGATATTGTGTAGATTTAAATTAAAAATCAGTCTTTTTGTCATCTATGCAGGTTTATTTCCTTTTTCAGGAACCATCAGTAAAACTGGCAGGAACAGCTTATAACAGTCCTGGCTCCATTCAGGGTTTATACTTTTCCAAAGGCAGTAAAAACCATAGATATCCATAATATCTATTATTATGGATATCTATGGGGAAAAACCACTGACACATCTCACCCCAGTCATGACAAGTTCTCCCCTCTTGAAGGCGCTACAGAGCAGTGTAGGTCAGAAACTGTTCTTCTCCTGAACCATCACTCTAATCAAATCTGATTCTAAAAGTCAGAAACAACTTTGATATGATAACCCAGTAACTCTGCCTCTATTCACTCTCTGTTTACTGGATCATTGTTCAATTTACCCTCTTTTTAATTTATGTTCTTTTGTTTCTAGATTTCTTTAGTTGATGTGACCCAGTCCATTCAGGGAATCCAAAAGGTCTGAAGTGCTCTCTTTCTCTATTTGTTTTGCTTCTTGTTCTTGAAGCATCGTAGTGTCAGCAGTGTGACTGTCAGCAGTGCATCCAAAGAGACACAGAGCTACTGATAAACCCACCTTCTCACCCCCCGCTGTGCTGATGTAGTCCCCCCTAAATTTAGTCCGCAGAGGTCAGGATGGACGCCTGCTCCTGCTGCCTTTCTTTGTGTACGTGTTCTCTTTAGAGGAAAGGAATTTTATCGCTGATAGCAGAGGTGTGGTGCAGGCAAGAGGACACTGAAATCTTTACACCTACAGATATCAGCACCTACTTGGTGGAGCTGATGAAGAAGTAATGACAAGAGCTGAAGTCTAAATTCATTACAATGAAAAACAGGCTTATAACAAGCTTATTGTGAACTGATAGTTTTTTTGTGCAGAAATAAAGAAAAAGAGAAGAAGAAAGAAATTTCTGTCATAATCACAGTAATCTAGTAACATGAAATTTTTAAAATCAAAATGTATGTGAGGGACCAAACTTAAATAAGGACAAAATGTGTTCAAAATTTGAAAAAGTGCTTTCATTTAATTGTGTAAAAAGGGTTAACAAAGGCTCAAAAGCAATACAAAATAACTTAAATACAGAATCTGAGTCCAACTTAACTGAGGTCAACTGAGGATCCAACTCAAACAAAAAACTGACCTGCAAACAAAGAACTAAAGGCTGCTTAAAAAGGGATGGAGTAACCCAAGGCGACAAAAAAAGCCAATAAATACAAAATTAACCATTCTATGAAACAAATAAAGCAAAACTAACTTACTTAGCAGAAACAATAAGTGAATATTTAAGTGACAAACTAATTGAAAACTTCTTGAAACAAGTCTCCCCCGTCAGTCTTTCAAAAATGGTACGCTCCAGATTTCCTTCTCCAGCTGGTTTGTATCAGCAGCACCTCAAACAAAAGAACAAGTGTTAATAAACTATTCAGACAGACATTAACTAAAGTGTGCACCCATTAGAAAATACCTGTCTAAAATAACCAACTTAAACATAAATTGTAATATAATATAAAGCAAGAAAAGAAAATACTAACACGATGTGATGGTGGGAGGATCATCCACCACAATGTATAAGGCATATTATAAGATACAAGCAATTCAAAAATATTTCTTCAAGGAAAAGATAGACCTCTTCATGAGCTCAATAAGTATCAAGTTCTGTAAAAAGTCTGTAAACTGTGTACTGTATACTTTAACAATGTCACGAGTTGATTAAATGAAAACAGCTTGCAACAGAATTGAATACACTTTTAATTAAGGCTGAGCAAGTTAACCTCCCAATTACCATGATATTTGCATATTCATGATATTAATTCAATTCAAACATACTTTATTAAGCCCTCATTTTTTTAACCAGATGTTGTAGGTGTTGATATCTGTAGGCAGGAAGGATCTTCTGTAGAGGTCTGTCTTGCACCGGTTCTGGAGATGCCTCTGACTGAAGACACTGTTGTTGTTTAAGAATCCTCTAAAGAGGATGCTCACTGTTGTCCATAATGTTCTTCACTTCATGAAGAATTATTTTTTGTGAAATCATCTCCAGAGGTTCTAGAAGAGTTCCTACAACAGAGCCGGAACTCCATCATTCATTCTGATGCTGTTTTCCCGGCCGATGATGACAGAAGATATCACACGCGCCCGAACATACAGATAGAAGATCTGCAGCTTCTTGCTGCAAAGGATCTAAGCTTCCTGAGGAAGTACAGCCTGCTCAGCTGCTTCTTGTAGATGGCATCACAGTTACATCTCTGGTGTAGTTTGTTTTCCAAATTATTTGTCCCATTTTTGACATTTTTTTTTTAATTCATAAGCCAGTAGCACATTCTGGTTGCATGCAGCATTTTTTTATTTTTAGATTTTTTTTAAAACATTACGATGTCCTGCATGTGTGTAATTTATCAGTTTTGCTTAGTTTATTAGAAAAAAAGAGAGAATAAAGTTAAAACATTGGAAGGTTAAAGTTGTACCAGAATAAAGTCATAATAGATCTATGAGTTTAAAGTCATAACATTAAGCCGCTGTCAAACCTTGAGGATTTAGCCAGCGTATGCCTGATGCCCCAGAATCTTCTAAAATGCTGGCATACGCTGAACTTTCTATGAATGTTTTCATAGAGCATTCATAATGAGCCAGAATGTCCATGACAGCCTAACTTATGCATAACGCACGGCAGCATAATGCCCATAAAATGTCACAGGCCAGTGTCCTGAGGGGGGCAGCGATGCGCCCCGAGGCCCCCAGCCTGCATTAAAAGATTTCTTTGATTGTGGTATTAAATCAGCTGCTGTTTACCACCCACAAAAAAAAAATAAAATAAATAAATAAGAATAAATAAAAAGAAAAGAAAGAAAGAAGCAGATTCAGCGTCATGTCTGCTAGGAAGTGTGTTGGTGGTGGGCGTGAACGCAGGTAGGATCCATCACACTCACCCTCTGGCTCACCCTATGATGAGGATGAAGTCTGGAGGAGAACTGATGGTTTCCTCCTGTGAACCCCCTTTATACCAAAACGCTGCCAATACGCCATTATACAGTAGCTGGAAGTTAGAAACACGTTCAGCGCTCGTCTGGAACACCTCCGATACGTTGCTATGCGTTGGAGAGAAGTTCTGGATAAGTTACACATAAGTTACTGATGGGTTTCGGATAAGCTAGAAACCACAACTTATGAGTAACTGACACTAAATGTCAACAATCAGATAACTGACCTGTAACTTATGGCCCACGTATGAGCATACGCTGGTATACACTGGGTTATTTTAAGTATGCTCGACATACTCGCCATACC